GTAGATGAATTTAGCATTATATTTATAATACTTTTCTTCTGATTGAATTGTTTTTATTATTGTCAGTTTATTAAAGACTGCTTTACATAGCAGTTTTTTAAAGGTTTTCTATAGCTTGTTTGCATAATCCTTCTTTTTATCTTGATTAGGTTCTTTTTAAAGCAAAAGTTTTAGTAACATTTTAAATTTGTGGTCTACACTTTTCTAAAAAGCTTGCCATTGTAATAGAGATGTTTTCTTTATATCAATTTTTCTTGATATGTTTATAGAAGGTTTTGTGATTCTACTTCTTATGAAAAGATCTTTGTTGTGTAGTGTTATTAAAGACATAATGTAGTTACTCCCATAATTTCTTTCATATCTTAATTATCGAATTGGAGTAATGGATAATTTGTTAGACTAAAAGAAATCCAAATATAGTCTATTCTACTATTATTTTTAGGTTTTTTCTTGTTGGAGTTTTCTCTTTGCTTTTCTATGTGACTTGCATATTTATAAAGTCTAGTTCCATTTATCAAGAAAGTTGAATGATGAAATTTTGGATTACTATAATGGTCTAAAAGCCTTGTCCATATTTTCTTTTAATAAGATTAGTTATATTATTCTATACTACTGTATTTTACATCTTAGTTTATTAGAAGGAATATAAATTCATATGATACTGATCTTTTTTCTTTTCATAAGTATGTTGGCAGCAATAATGTATCATTCTTCTTTTTCTACTGATGCAATCTTTTTTTTCAAATCTCTTTTGATTAAAAGACTAACACCTGCTCCAAATGGTATATTTTGTTAATACTATAAAAGTATTTGTAGTCTTTCTGATTGTTGAATACCTATTGTGTATTGACTTGTATTAGTTTTGTTTCACATAACTCCAATATATCTATTTCTTGTTCTAGTATCTCTTCAATCAGGTTTTGTTATTTTGTTTTATCTGTAATTCCTCTGACATTATATATATCAATTCTAATTTAATTATCTTTTTATCTATATCATCATCTTCTTGAATTTTATTGAATAGTTTATGTCTACTATTGTTGTTTAGAAAATCTTTTTGCTCATTTTGTAAAAATATTAAGATATATAGATACCATATTTTTTCTAATTCATTATTGTTTATTAAAGTTAATTTGTTGTCCATATTTATAGTTTTTAATAAGGAGATAATGGGCTCTTGCTCCTTTTAATTGCTATCAAGAACTGTTGCATCTTTAGAAGCAGTTTACTTCTTTATTACTTAGTCTTGATCTTCTAAAGATTATTTGTTCCTTTAAAGTATCTATTTTAACATATAGTCTTTCCAGATTGGCTAAAATACTCTTAAAGAAATCTTGAGAACTTTCTATTTTGGGTCTTCCCTTATCTTCAAGAAAACTATATTTATTGCTTTGCTGATTTCTAATTGATTCTTTATTGCTTCCTGTTGCAGGGTATTCTCTTTTCTTGTTCTTTCCTCATTCTATTTTATTATTACTTCTATATTTGATTTGTCTCTGATTTCTGAAGCTATGATAACTTGATGAAGTGGAAATAGAATCTGTTAATTCATTATCTGATTGTGTATCTAATTTGATTCATTATCTACTTCTATGCTTCTGGACCTATTGTAAATCATGTATTTCTATTTTCATCTTTAAGATTTTGTCTTTTCAATTTGAAAATATATTTGATACTTCAAGAAAGGTGATGTCTCTGCAAGAAAATATATTGTTTTTTATTTTAAAGTAAATTACTATAAAGTTATACTTCTTGAATATATAGGAATCTTTGAATATATAGTATGCCTTAGCTTGAGTACTATTCAATACTTTGATTATCAAGCTAGTATAGATTTTGTCAGACCTAGGAGTTTTGTTAAATTATTATTTCTCTAAATTAGTATCTAGTTAATTTTATTATCGATAAGCTTGAACTTTGAGAATATTACTCTTGACATTTCTGTATTGATTGAAGTTATCCAGATTACTTCAGAATTTAAGCTAAGATATTTGTACCATTTGATATTAGCTTTCACCTATAGTTTTGTATTTACCTTATAGATATGAACATTTTGAACTTCTCTATATCTTTTTAGATATACCTTTATGAGGTTCTTGTCAACTTTTTGATCTATATCTATTAAACATATATATCAGATCTCAGTATCCTCTTTGATTTTAGATTCTTGAAAAACTTTTCTATCTAATTTTCTTTCTGTTTTCTGTTTTTTAAGAATAGCTAAAATGTTATATGTTGAATCATAAAGTTATCTTTTTTTTTATTAACTTCTTCTATATATCTTATAATATCTTCTTCTTCTTATATTCAAAAGACTAATCATTTATTTTCGTTGATGAATTATTTTTTCAGTAGACTTCTTTTTTCTTGTAGAAATTTAAGGATATTGCCTAAGTTTACTTTGATTTTATTTTCTGTTTCTCCTGAAATATTAGTTGCTATTCTATTTAATATATAGGTTCCTTTCTTTTTTATGAAATATAGATTTGTTGATGGTGTCATGTCTCTATTTCTAGTAGTATAAGAGCTGTGTTTGCTAATACATTGTCTTTTAACTATTTTTTAAAGTTTCTGTAATTTAAACTCTTCTATCTTCTGTATGCATGTCATTGTTACTTCATTGTCTAATATTAATTCATTATTTACTTGTTCAATAATTTCTATTGATTGTCACTTTGGTTTAATATAGTTTACAAGATTCTTAATAATTTTTATGAACTTGTTTTCAATATAGGGTTGTAAGATATCTTCTTTTATCTCTTTACTTTGTTGCCAAAGATATGTAATATTATGAATTAAAATTCTTTTCTTGTAAAAAATTATCATATCAACTCCCAATATCTTAGTTATAATGCTATCTAAGATTATATATATTTTTGATAATAAGGCTATTAGTATATTGGGTTCACTATTTCTTAGTTATAATAATTATTGTGAGGCCTATAGGATAGAGTCTTCATTATATTTTTTTGAAAAGTTGATTAGGTATTTACTATATTCTTTTTTTTTATTGACTATTTGTAATATATATTGTATTCTATTCATGTTTAATGACTCATATCTATTGATAAATTATGTAAATATTTATTTGTATTTATGATAATTTATTTTTAGGTCACAAATAAACTTTTTTAAGATTGTTGTTGTTTATGTATTTTAATTAGGTAATATCAAAAAATCTTATTTATTGTTTTGATATGTTTATTTGTTTATATTAACAATCCTATCCTACTTTTGAGATTTGCTATGTGCTTATGTGGATTGTCAATCAACTTGTTTAGATAACAAGTATTATACTTGTCACTTATACATGTATACTTGTTTTGCTTATCTGCTTTTTACATATTTATGTTTGTATAATAAAATAAAAGATAGATATATTGTTTATATGTATATATATATTTAAACTATCTTGTCTTTAGGGAGTTTTAATATTTTTTTAAGTCTTTAAGTAGTTAGAACAACTTGATTTATTGAGTGTGCTTAGTTGTTTTTTAGGTTCCTTACAATATCAAGAAAGGTGTTAACCTGTACTAGCTGATTGTGAGCTATGTGAAGTTGATATTGACATCTTTTTTTTGACTATGAATCAGTTTACAGATCTTTTTTCTTTCTTCTAAAATTTTTAAGAAAAAGAAGTAAAAGAAAATTAGTAAAGCAGTATATACCTTTTTCTTTGATATTTTTGGGTAACTTATTGTATATGTGTTGAAAGTGCTTAGTAGTTTGGTTAAAAGATATATTGTTTTTTCTTGTATGTTTGAACTGGTTCACTTTTTCCAAAAAAATTACCAAAAAAAGAAATTTTTGAAAAAATGAGAATCAGCAGAAAGAGTTTTTTTTATCTTTTAGCTGTTTTTTGTTTATATAAACAAAAAATGACTAATAAATTTAATGATATATGGTATGATTATAAATTTGAGATAGTTTCAGTTCAAATTAAATTAAAATAAAAATTTATCTAATCCAATATAAATTAGTTTTACTTATAATTTGATTTAACCTATTATGATTTGCTAGTTATAAATATACAACATTAAAATATTATCATTTTTAAATTTAAGTTTAAAAAAATTTTTTTTGTAAAAAAACCATCATTTATAAACAAACTATTAAAAATATATAACAATAAATATCTAAAAAGAATTTTTGTAAAAAAACCATCATTTATAAACAAACTATAAAAAAATACATAACAATAAATATCTAAAATAATTTAATGTAATAATTCATCAAATAATAACATATTATCTTATCAAAGCAATCATTTTTTGCAAAAGACTTTAATAATCAACTTATCAGGTTACAAAAAATATAATTTAATTTTTATAAATTAAAATAATCCAGAGACTTTCTTAACACAATCTCGAATTTAAATATTGTTATATATTGTATAACCTTAAATCACATTTCAAATTTTCACTTGTCAAATCAACTTGACGAGGATCTGCATCGAAGGGGATGGCTAAACATCGGCATAACTGGATTTAGCTGTTATCATTTTTTTATTCTCGCACTGCATGCATGCAAGTCACGATGGCAAAATTTCTTTCGCTCTGCAAACATTCACGGAATTTCCTATTTAATTATAATTTCATTAGTTGTCCATCATCAACCCAATGTTTCCCTCTTCGAAATTTGAAGGGGCATAGGTCTTTTCAGACAAATGTCGGATTATCGAGAAAAAAATTTTACGATTATGCATCTAAATTGAAGATCAATGAAGCCTCGAGATTCTTTACAACTAAGAATTTAATCTCGACAGAATCGAATGTTGATACCAACGAAAAACCTATGCTTATAACTACACCCATATTTTATGTGAACGCAAGTACGCATTTGTGGTCCATTTGATTGTTTCATGGTATCACTTCTCGCATGTTCGCAACATTGAGTATCCATTGGAATAAAAAGTTCACATCAATTTACCTAATTAAATTTTCTAAATATTATTCAACGGAAAGCGCCCCACATAGGACATTTGTATTCAGCAGTAATAGCCGATAGTCTTAAAAGGTATTACGAACTCAAAGGTAAAAAAGTTCTATTAAGCACAGGAACCGACGAACATGGATTAAAGGTATACGCAAAGTTCGACTGACTTGACTTGTCTAGTTTGATTGATTTTATATTCACGTGCAATTTATCAATGATTTCTAGATTCAACAAGCAGCGATTAAAGAAAATAAAAGTCCGCAAGAGTTTTGCGATCAAGTTTCAAAACGATTTCTTGTCTGTATTTTTTTTTTTTTAAATGAAATAAAATAAGTAAAAAATTTTCATCAGCTCCATCTTACTCCTTTTTCTTATAAACATAACAGGAACTATTTGATACGGCCAATATAAGTTATACAACTTTCGTGCGCACTACGAATCAAAGACATAAAGAGACTGTAAAATACTTTTGGGTACTCATTCTGTTATTCCATTGTTGCCTCTTCATTGAAACGTTCGAATCACTGATTTCTAATTTTAATCAGAATCAACTAACGAATGGTGGGTACATATACAAGGGAGCACACGAAGGTTGGTATTCAATATCGGATGAGGCATTTTATAATGCATCTCAAGTTTGCGAAACCGAAACTGCAGGTGGAGGCAGAATTAGGGTGAGTTGTTATTCCATCAGAGAGCTTGCGTGATTTCAGCCGCTAAGTTTATGATTAATAATATTTAAAAATTTTCGTGTCGATTAGATTATTGGAATAAGGATTCATATTTGACGTTCCATAATTTTCTTTTTCGTGAATTAGGTGGCAATAGAATCAGGACAGCCAGTTGAGTGGACCACAGAGGATAATTATAAATTTACATTATCAAAATTTCCAAGTGAACTAATAAGATGGCTGGATGATAACCCGGATGGTATATATGATATTAGGATCAAATATTTTGTTTAACCTACCAGTTCAAATGTTGATCTCGATTGCTTTACAGTAATTGTGCCATCAAGCAGATATAACGAAGTAAGATCATTGACAAAAGCCGAACTTTCGGATCTTTCGGTATCTCGGCCCCGATCTCGATTAAATTGGGGGATTGGTGTTCCCGGCGATGATGAACAAGTCATCTATGTCTGGCTGGATGCTTTAGTTAATTATCTAACGGTTTGTGGATACCCATGGAACACAAAAGACGAGGGAGAGACACGTGGTTTTGAGGGCGCGGAACTTAATGCTTGGCCCGCTGATGTTCACGTAGTTGGGAAGGATATCATAAAGTAAGAACCACCGAGTGTTTTATATCTGCCTTACATTTTGAAGAAATTGACATGCAATAATAATGTTTAAGTACACGTCGGTATTCACACAAACTTACTTATACATTAAGGATCACTATTCTTTGTTATTCTTAAGATTTCATACAATATTATGGGCTTCGTTCCTAATGGCGGCGAAGTTGCCGTTGCCGAAGAAGATATTGGCACACTCTCACTGGACATTGGAAAAACATAAGATGTCAAAAAGTCGTGGGAACGTGGTTTGCCCGTTTACATTAATGAATCGTTACGGTGTGGATGCCGTCAGGTACTATTTGATGAGAGATGGCGGCATTGTCGATGATGGAGGTAGGCATAACTGTGTTCTACAAATTCTTTCATTTGTAATTTAAAAATGCATCTTTCCCTTTAACAACAGCTTATTCGGAACATATAATTGATGGAAGATATCGAAAAGATTTAGCAGGCCAACTTGGAAACTTAATTTCGCGAAGTACCTCTCATTCATTAAATCCATCGTCACTGATACCTACGTCCCCACTGATTGTCAACGGCATAAAAGAAAAAGATGCTAGTTTAGTAGAAATGTTGGAAAAGTTACCAGGTAATCCGAAAACGTCTTTATTTGTCATTTCAATTATCATTCTTATCATAAATTAAGAATCAATTAAGAATCTTGCTTTATATAAAGATCTTGTGAATCAACACTTTGAAAAATTTGAATTCGGCAAGGGTCTAGGATTAATATTTGATGCTATCGCAGAGGTAGGGTTATTCGTTTTTTTTTTTTTTTTTTAAAAATACTGTCATTTCACATCAACTAAAACAAACATTACATCTTCTGTTTAAAACACAGGCCAACAAACTTTTCACGGAATATGAACCTTGGAAGCTAGTCTCTAAAGTGGGTGCGAGCTCTCCAGAAGACAAAGATCTCCTCAACCGATCATTGTTCTTCTCGGCCGAGACTTCTCGCATGGCCGGAATATTACTGCAACCTGTAATGCCTACAAAGATGTCCGAACTATTGGATGGTCTTGGTGTTGGAAAAGATGAGAGGAAATGGAGTGATGCTAAATTGGGCAATGGTTGGCCAATTGTGAGAAATGGAGGGACCATGAAGTTTAATGTTAAGGGTTTACTATTTCCGAAATTGAAGGATTGAGTTTAGGCGGATGATCATCGTGTTCTTCGCATAATAACAAATTCGAGATTGTATGCAGACCTGGAAATCGATTATCTAGTAAATGATAAAAGTCACTTTAAAGTTGATTGAAATTTTATTATCATTATTATTTGATTTGATTTATTACAAAGATAATTTAAATTGAATATTAAACATAAGTTTTGTTAGTATTTAATTTTTTAAATAAATTTTTTTATTCAAGATATTGCAAATCAAATAAAAAGTATATATATATTTTATTAAAAAATAAAATCAGTAGAGTTAATTGTATTCATACAATCGTTATAATCAAGTTGTAAATAAATCAAATCAATTAACATAATATATTTTAAATTTTGACGATAGTTTAGAATTATGAATTTTGAATTATAAAATTGAAATCTTTAATTTATACCAATTTCATTATTTACATAATTTGCCATAAAGTCACAATTCAGAATACTTTAATCTCGATTTTAATATCGTAGAATAATTTTAACTTTATTTAAAATAATAAGAGATACACGTGAATTATATAAACGTAATATCAACAAAAGTAGAAGATAAGTACGTATTTCATTATTTTTTTGCCTTATATGTAGCACAGCACAGTAATTTATTGTGACATAAAGGTTGCGTGAAATATGATGCGAAATTAGATAATTAATTCGTATGAAATAACCATTTTTTTGGGAGGTTGGAAAACAAAGTTCTTTAAAAACAAATCAGCAATTTGATAATAATAATAGTGAAACGGCAAGATGTGCGAGAAAAAGTGATGGGAACAATATTATATTATATTTATTTATAGAATTAGAATTCCCGGACTGACCTTGGAAAAAATTCTCCACAATAGGATTCATAATAATACGATATACTGCATGTAGGCACAGTACGTGCAGTACGCATGAAAAAACCTCGCATCCCCTCACTTGAAAAAATTCATTCGGATCTGCTGTTTCCACTCCAATGGCTTTAAATATCATTAATACTGCGTAAGGATCGGGATGTTTACTAAATTCGTTTGCAATATATGGTATGGTTATTATTAGGAACTACGATTAAAATTATTACAATATTTAAAAATAACCCGAATGCACCATTTTTATCTCGCTTTTCTGCGGGCAGTTAGTGAATGCTTTACCAGGAAGAAATTCGTACCCACCTCACGCATGGCGAACCAATTGCGTATTTACACGACCATATATGGTAAATCCAATTTATAAACCAGTACGATTATGGTCACGTGTATAAATTGCCAAGGTTTCCTTGACGAATTCTTTGGTTTCGGCTTTTTTCCCAACATTCTCACGCACATCTTCCCTTTTCCTCGTCGAAATTGAAAAGGTTTCATTCGACATCAAAGGATATTTGTTTCTGCGATCATTCTACTTGAAGAGGCGGCCGGGACAATAATCTGTTCACTCGTCGTCATGCCATTTATTCTGGTCATCTGAACCATCCAAGTTAGGAAATAAATAATCGCAGAATATGACATCCGTATTACGTAGTACATATACGCACCGCACATAACTTGGCACCAATTTGAGATATGTCGTCTAATCACTCTTCCGGTTCTCTCTCTAAGACATATTCACAATGATGTCTAAGCTTTATTTTTGCTTTATCACCGCTTTGATCCTTATTGCCACGATTGAAATTTCTACGATCGATGGTGAAGTTTTGTTATATCTGAATTTTTATCTTTCAAGACTCGGACATTAACCAGTTTTCATAATTCACTTTGTCAAATTATCAGGACGTGAGTACAATACAACTCTGCCATATAATAATTGCTTTCCTGATTGACTCATTGTTAATATTCTCCTAAATTATTATTAGAGAGTGAGTCTATATTCTTTATGGCGCAATCAATGAGGGATTTGGGGTGATGTTCCAATAACTGATCACTCTTTGATCAAATTGTAAAACTTATTTGCTAAATTAATTCACTAGGCCGTGAGTATGAAATTTCAAGGGATTGATGTTCACTGGGAGCACAGCGCATTTTTCTAACACTTTTTTTTGTGTCAAATTGTTAGAATGTGAGTCTGAATTTTCTATGATATGTCGACGAAAAATTCGAAGCGAAGATTTTTGAATATTATATTATTTAATAACTTTTTTTACGACATTCTAATTAAACCGTTAGATCGTGAGTGCAAAATATCTTTGTTACATGGTGTATTATTATTGGTAGGATGTATTTGTCTGATCAATTATTCACATTCTCTTTTTTTTTCTTAATCAATAGTGAGTGAGTACAACTCTTTGTGATGTAGTTGAAAACGAATTTTAAGTGAATAGTTCTTTAATTAATTTTATCCACCGGTTAACTTTATGCCCGCCATTAAATAAACTTATTAGCGAGTGAGTGCAAATTTTTGGACGTATTTGTGATGAACGTCAAGCACTTTACCTTTCTAACAAACTTGCGTCTTATCTCAAATGAATAGAGAGTGAGTAATGGTTTTGTTTTCTTTGAGCGATGATCCACAAATCTATTCTAATAGCCTAACAAGTCTGTTTTTCTCTTTTTAGCAGGTGACCTTTAAATTCTACTATAGTATCGCGAATATTACAATGTGACTCATCTTCAAATCTCATTATACCGCAATATTAGTTCGTGAGTATTATCTATTTTCCCATCGTGATATTTTAAATTAATTCGATGACTTGTTAACTCGTACTCCGTTGTCTAATTATTATTAGTTTGTGAGTACATACACTGAACGTTTACTTTCCTCCAAGTTCAACAAAAAAAAATAAAAAATAAAAATCTAAAAACATATTATGAATCTTTTCATTATGAACTTCCATGGAATAATTAGGCAGTAAGTATATTTAAATTTTTTACATAAGCACCGCATGTTGTTGTCCCGAATGACTATTCTCTAACGCTAACTTAAAAAAAAAATTTTTTTTTTTGATTGTTATTAGTTAGTAAGTAGAAATTCTTTCTTTTTTTTGCACAATTATAACTCCGAATAATTGATGCCTAATTTCATTTTATTAAACTATCAGGTGAGTATTATACGTGCATTCACTTGGACTGATTGTGTTTTTTCAGCGCATACACGCAAAATTTACCAACTCAACATCCTTTTCCTTCCATTTAATCACAGACCGTGAGTATTAAGTTTACGAAGTAGAATCCGTGTGTTATTCTCGGATCAATAATAGTAACACTGATCCACTCATCATCGTCTTTGGATGCCTTGAATTATTAGGTAATTGTAAAGGCCCTGTTTTTGTTGCATTATCGCGATGATATTATTTCACTAATAAACTGTTCCTTAACCCTAATCATTAGCCGGTGGGTATCAAGTGAATTTAGGGTTTCTACATCATGCATTGTTTCTTACGGTTCTTTTCTTGTTTGATTGTTAGACAGTGAGTATCATTTCAATAGATCCATTTCAAAGCAGTTATTTCTCGTGATGATTCACGAGCGAATTTTTTTTTTTTTTTCAATTTAATTACTAGTTGGTAAGGATAAGGAAAAATGATATTTCTATAATAATCCGTCATGATCATTTTCAAGTAATGCCTTCAATCTGACCGTCCATTAGCAAGTATGTATGAAATTTCATAATTAACACGCTATGATCAAGTTTCATCGTGACGATGTGATTTCTCTTAACCCCTGAATTCTCACCTTTCCAACAAACAATTAGCCGGCAAGTATAAAATCCTTAAGTTGCCTATTGATCACGATCACGCATCACGATTATTACTTCTCTAATTTTATAATGTATCTGCTGTTTGGTCATTAGACAGTGAGTATACAGTTTTTGTTGGAACTACTGCACCTTCACAAATAATAATAATGCAATTGATTTTTTGTTAGCTGGTGAGTATCAAAGGTTTACCGACAAGTTCCTGAACATCCCTCAATCAATTTAATAATTTCTGTCAACGGCTTTGATTCTCATCATTTTACCTAACGATTAGGAAGTGAGGACATAAATTTTACTTATTAAAGTTCTTCCATTTAATCTCCAAGCGCTAACGAATTTTTATTTGACCCTATTATTAGTTTGTGAGTATAATTAATTGACGTCTTGCAATCATGAACTTGCAATAATAACGAATGATCCATTTTCCGGATAATTTTTACTTAGACAGTGAGTGCGATACTGTTTTTTTTTTTAATAAGATGAATTAAAATAATTCACTGAGAAAAATTTCTAATTAACTTTATATTATTGTTATTAGCTTGTAAGTAATAAAGCTTTATCGCGTTTCGTGGTTAACATACTCCCTAAATAATATTGCCGATTTCTTACAACCCTAGATCGTGAGTACAAGTTTCTAATAGATGGGATTCATATATTAATCACATCAATTAATCATTCGACATTCTTTTCAAATTAAACCTATCAGCATGTAAGTATTGAAGATTATCGTGACATCCTAATCCTGATTATGATATATATATTTATTGATTGATTTATTCGAACTTGTTATTGATTTCTAGGTAAGTATGAATTCGGTTGCTAATTTGAATCTACATGTCGCGTGATAATTCCTATAATTCAATTTAACGACGTTTGTCATTCATTATATTTGATAATTAGACAGTGAGTATAATTTTTTTTTTCTTTCTTTTTGATTCCACAAATTGTATGAATTCATAATCTGAAAATTATTTTTTATTAGCTGGCAAGTATAATATTTTCGCTATGTAATTGATAATTCATCTTAGATGACGTCTTGTTGATACTTACCTCTGGGTGCACATTCTTTCCATGAACTTAATCAGTCCGTGAGTATAAGGAAATACCTTTGTGAATAAACTTATTCACCTGAAACTGTCCGTTAACCTTTGTGCTTACTATTTTACCAAAATATTAGCTGGTGAGAATAAAATCTTGTTGTGAATGACGCGTGCTATTAAATGATTATTTTTCTCACCCTCAATTCAATCTTAAACTGTTGTTAGGTAATGTGAAATTTCATTTTATTCATACGCAGAACTTTTATAATTGATGATAGAT